ATTTTTTTTAAAAAAAAAAAATTGTCTCTTCAAAATCTTGGTGCGTCTTATACTCCAGTGCGTCTTGTGCTCCAAAAAATACGGTACTCAAATTTTCCACTACCTGTTCTCCGGAACCTATGGGAACCTGCTGAATTTCAACCCTGGAACTCCCTCTGATGAATATGCTTTTTGTCCTATTTTGGAGGAAAAGTCGATCTCCCTCTTCTCTGCGACACTCAGCATCTCTCAGGATCTCAGCGTCTTTTCTGTATCATAGTGACCAGAACTGGACACAATATTTTAAGTATGGCCTCCCTAGTGCTCTATAAAACAGTACCATTGCTTCTCAGGATCTTGATGCTTCTGTGGATGCAGGCTAAATTTTATTGGCCTTTTGAGCAGCTGCAGCACACTGCTAGCTCATACTTAAATGTAATTGTAATTTAATTGTAATTTAATAAATTTATATGCCGTAGGACTCCGGGCGGCTTACAAAATACAAGAGTAAAAATAAAAAGTTAAAATATAGGGAAATAGGAAAACAGATTTAAAAATAACACACCATACACTCAACCTAGGTGGGGCTGGACCTCGTTCATGAGGTCAACAACCCCAGGCCTGCCAGAACAGCCAGATTTTAGTGGCTTTTCGGAAGGCCGAGAGAGCAGGAAGGGTCCGGATCTCTGCGGGTAAATCATTCCATGATGTGCAGACGGGCAGGGGGGAGGGAGCCGGAACCGGTTCTAAACGACTCTGTAGATTTGTGGAACCTCTTCTATAGAAGATGTTAGAACTGGCAGAAACCCACTCCTGAACTAGGTGGGGGTATAAATATTGTGGCTTTCGTCTCCCTTTATGTTGTGTCTGTGTGCGTATATGTGCACTGAGGAGCATGGTATGATGTGACTGCAGAGAGGGCAAATGTAAATTTAAGTTACATGAAAAAAGTATAGTTTCCGTATCACAGGAAATAATAGTTCCATATTATTCTACATAGCCTTGAGAAAAATTGAAAGGGATATGAAAGCTTTTATAAGCACTTGAAGGTTAAAATTAGGAGAAAATCATCCCCAAGAACCTTCTGTGTATACAATGCAAACTAGGCTCAGGAAATAGGAAGAATTCCTCTGGGCCGTTACAAGAACAAACAGTATACATGCAATATAGTGAAGCATATTTAATTGCTGTCAACTTCAATATGGGAGTATATCTACATCCAGGTACAGTGGATGTCACTCCATGGGACACCCACAGTGGGGTAAGGAGGTGCAAATGATGTCCCATGCATCATGCTATCATCATGAAAATGATGAAACTCTTGTTCCTGATAGAATGATGTGATTACAAAAATATTTCATTTGTTCAGTGATATCATGACTCATGTCATCATTTTGACATCATTATAACTTTTTAAGGACACATCTAGACTGCACAACCTACTGGTGTTGCATTGTATTCTTGTTGGCTTGAGGAGGAAGAGCATTCAGAATTAGTCTACTGCCTAACGCAATTCCTACAATACTCTTAGGAAATCAGATACTCTTGTTGTTTTGTTTGGGTTTCATTAAACAGGGGAAAAAATAAAAAGTGGAAAAACATGTTGCTTAATAGATATAAATTGCACATGGACAGTTATAATGAAATGTGGTCATGCATTAATGAAAATTTTACATAACTATAGACATACATTTTTTACATATTTATAGACATATATAAAATGCGTATACACAGAAACACTTTGTTACTTTAAAAAGCTTAATAAACTATATCTTTCGAATTGATATTTATTTATATATCGCTTCCAGAAGTTGTGAATGTTCCAACACTGGAAGTTTTTAAGAAGAGATTGGACAAATCTCTTTCATTTGTCTGAAATGATATAGGATTACCTGTCTGAGCAGAGAGTAGGACTAGAAGGCCTCCAAAGTCCCTTCCAACTCTGTTATTCTGTTCCTACATAAGTTAAATGATTATTGCCAACTTTAGCCTTGTACCAAAGGTGCTTGTTCAAGAGGTAAATGGACTTTCTTGTTTTTCTTTGAAGATGTTTCGCTTCTTATCCAAAATGAGAAGCAAAACATTTTCAAAGAAAAACAAGAAAGTCCATTTGCCTCTTGAAAAAGCACCTTTGGGGCAACCATGACCTGGATGACTGAGAATCTCCATAGACATTTAGCGATGCACTTTGGGATGAATGGTGAGGGAACAAACAGAGCTGAAGAAGCTTTTTGGATAAGAAGCAAAACATCTTCAAAGAAAAACGGGAAAGCTAGCTACCTCTTGAAAAAGCATATTTGGGACAACCATGACCTGGATGACTGAGAATCTCCATAGACATGTAGACTTGTACAGACTCATGCACCAATGTGCAATGTAAGTACCCTTTTTTCCCTGTGGCAACCTTGCATCTTGTTTTATATCAGATTTTGAGGAATGTGAAGTAGTGATTCTGAATATGCCATTAGCACAATCCTTTTGCCAAGAACCTTTACCCCCAATGTTCTGATAAACTTTTCTTTCCTGGTCAGATGTTCATGGAGATTATAAATACTTTCTTATTATCATAGCATTCAAAGTTCATTGTGTGTGCACAAATAGGCCACTGGTTTGGAATGAAGAAGCTCTCCTTTGAATGACTGCTTTCTGAATTTAACAAAAACATCTTGGCAAGATCTAAGTAAGTGAAGATTTTACAGAATTTTTCTATTTCTACATAAATAAGAAACAAATATGTGTTGTAGCTCTTCCTGACAAGGTTAAAGGTATGCTTATATTTTAAATCAAAGGTCATTTCTTGCTTTTTATAAGAGAAGAAAACTTTTATAGTAGAAAATGGGGCTTTTCTTCAATAGAAGCAAAAAATTATATGAGAGATGAATGAAGAGTCTGTTTAATTTGGAGTGTTTCAATCTTATTAAAATAAACCAGTCATTTGCTGAAGTTGGGAGTAGTGTTAGAGGAAAAGAATTGGAAACTGGATTATTTTCAGAAGCACAGATATGAGAACCTTATAAACCTTATAGCTGCCCAGAGTTACCTTGTAGAGGATATGGGTGGCATAGAGATTTAATAAATAAATAATATAACATATAAAATTTCCAGGGAATACAAATTGAATGAAATCTGGGAGAAAACATCTTGCAATAATAAAGGATGTACAAAGCTAAATGGCATACTATCAGCAATTAGTTAGAATTAAAAACAGGAATTAAATCAGAGATTGTTCCATTGGTTTTGATGTCCGTAAACTGCAAAATAGCTTATTTATGTCTGTTCTGTATTTACCAAGATCAGAAGAGGACAACCAGCAGCAAAACAGATGAACTCAGTTGCAGTGGCGATGAGTGCACCATTGGAAGTTCCGAAAGACCAGGTTAGGGACAGGTCATCATGGAGAAAATATATCAATGTAGCAGGATTCTGGTGAGAGAGAAGTTCCCTGAGGATGGGCTCCAGCATGAGTCTCAAAGCTTAGAAGACTGGTCCATGTGACCAACAGAGATTGGATCCTACAATATTATCCTGGGATATGTATATTTGCCTTCATTCATGTATCAGTGTAGTCACAAAGCGTTGACAAACTCTTGATACCACACAATCAGTCAATCAACTTTTGCTAACAACCAGTTATTTTTTTAAAAAAGTAATAAATTAAACGTTAACTATATCAGTATTTTACTTACTCACAAAATTGCTTAGAATTGACATGCATTCCAGATGCTATAATTCCCAGCCCATATGGACTTCTCTACAAGACCATATCTGTTCCTGAATTTTTTATTGTTAATACAACAGTTCAGAGATGGTATCTGCCTATGGATCACAGAGTTCATTGTAATGAAGTAAAACAAATAAAGAGAATCAAAAGAAGACATGTTCTCTATTACAATTTATTTTGTTTTCAAATTAGAAGTTTAAAATGTTAAGTTTAATGTTTGTCACAGGTTAGATCTTGTCTTATATAGTACTATTTAAATTGTTTCCAACGTACATGTTTATCATGATGACATGTATGTATTTAATTTACTACCTAATGTAATCCCAAGAGCATTGGGTGTTTATGATAATAACTCCCCTCCCCCCCAAAACAATACATCTATACTAAAAAAATCACTTTTAGTAAGTGACAAAATCTAAAGATCTTTATCCAATCTAGGTGTCTGCAAAGGATCTTTTGGTAGACATGTATTAGTTGATAGGTCTATCTTTCCTATTCAATATTTATCCAACAAACAGTACTTTTTATCCAAAAAATGCTATGTCCAATAAATTTGATGTAAAGAAGAGGAATCAGACTAAAAATTCAGGGGAATTGGCAGTAAATTGGGACATTCTGATTCTGTGGGAGTCATGTTGAAGTATTCTTGCTTTTAGGTCTCCATGGAGGAAGAATATGTACAAGGACAATTCAAGAAGTTGCAAGCGCAACATATGATCATGCAGAAAAAAACATTTACCACCTGGCTGAATAATGTTTTCTACGAACACAGTGTAGGTAGCTTTCTTGTAATGTTCTTCACATCCCTTAAAACACTTTTTGCTGATGCTAACAAATTCTTCTGCCTAATTTCACCAATTAACTTAATCTCTGATTTGTTCATTATTTTTAAAATTATAACAGCAAGAACAGTACTCTGCAGAAAAGTCTTTTAAATAGAACTTCATAATAAGGTATTTGAGCCTGCCATTTTCACTACAGCTTTCACCCGTTAGGTCAAGATAAAAGAGCATTGCCTCTCTCATTACTGAGCGGTTGAATAACTACTAGTCCAGTATCAGTTTCATGTCACAATTTCCATAAGCAAGATAGCATTAAGAACATAACATCATGCTATTGTTGTTGGATTTATTTGTGATCCTTTAATTTTGTAGGCAAACATTAGGATTCTAGATATCTACACTGAGCTGAAAGATGGCATTTATCTCCTGCATCTTTTGGAACTACTGTCTTCTGAACAACTACCCAGGCCAAACAAAGGCAAGATGAGAGTACACTTTTTGGAGAACAATAGCAAAGCCATTCAGTTCCTCAAATCTAAGGTGAGATATATGGTTTGGGGTTGTAGTAGGCATTAATCAAGTTTGGTTTGGATGGGAAGGTGGAAAGTCATATTGCCAACTGATATGGTTCTATCTACTGATGATTTTCAATATTTCCTACCTCAGCTTTCATGATGGGGAGGGAAAATACCTATTAGGACTATGAAAAACATAGTCACTCCTGCAAATAAGTTGATTGCATGCATCACCTTTGTCCAGTTGGTGAAAACCTTGCAAATTAGTCAGAATGTAAGAAAGATAGCAAAGATGGAGAAAAGTTTATTTCTATGTTTCGCACGTTTTCCAGACCTATCCTAAATGTACTGGTTGATTCTTCTTCTTCTTCTTCTTCTTCTCCTTCTCCTCCTTCTCCTTCTCCTTCTTCTTCCTCCTCCTCCTCTTCCTCTTCCCCTTCCCCTTCCCCTTCTTCTGATTTTCAGAGACTTTTGTAAACACACTAATGATAAGAGCCTCTTCTGCATTCAGCAGGTACATGTGAAGCTAATTGGACCAGAAAACATAGTAGATGGAGACCAGACCCTCATTCTTGGATTAATGTGGATAATTATACTCAGATTTCAAATTTCATTGATCAGTCTTGACAAGGTAAAGTTGTGGTTTAAAAATTCCTAACTTTTTTCTTTCAGATTTGATCTGTTGCCTTAATAATTCTTCAACAATCTAAAATTTAATATAACATTTAAGACTGAAAAGAAGCATAGAGGTGATTGTACTGTATTCATGAAATTGTATGATATTGTTCTCCCATATGTCCAAGATCAGAGCCTTCATACAAAATTTGTGAAATGTTTAAGTTAATATTCTACATATCTATATAATATAATAACTGAAATCAGTATCCAGTGATCTAAGAATGAGATAAAATCTGTCACTCTTGAGACTTTTGAACCCTCGGAGAGATGGAGCAAATGCATTAAAAAACCCAACTAAATTTTGTATTTACAGCTAACTATTAATATTAGGAGAGAAGTCTGTGTCAACTCGCGAACTTTTCCTGACCTGCTTCTGAGTTGCAGAGAACTCAGGAGGCAAGGGGATAGGAATTGACAGTAGATGTGTCCTGACAGTGTGATGGTTCAATGGTTAAAGATGCTGGGCTGGAAAGTCAACAGCCCAGGTTCAAAACCCAATCACCACATGACAGAATGTGTTCCCATTCTTGCTCTGGCTCCTGCCTACCTAGCAATTTGAAAACATGCAAATGCAAGTAGATAAATAGGTACCACTTCAGTGGGAAGATAACAGCATTCCGTGTGCCTTGGTGTATAGTCATGCTGGCCACATTATCATGGACAATGTTGGCTCCCTCAACTAAGAAAGGGAGATGAACACCACCTGCTAGAGTCAGAAATGACTGGACAGGAGAACCTTTCCTTTATTAACCATATAATTAACTATAATTTAAATCTGCATGTACTTCTGTTGCTGGCTACTAAACTTTTTGCTTTGTTTTGGTTTTTGTGGAGTCTTAGTTTTGCTGATTTAGATTTAGATTATCCTATGAATGCTCTTGCCTTGTTGACATTCTAGGATGAATTTGGATACAGAGTTGATGCTCTTTCTTCCAATGAAGCTCTACTGGTTTGGTGTCAACGTAAGACAGCCAGCTATTCTAATGTCAACATAAAAGACTTTTCCAAAAGCTGGAATGATGGGCTAGCTTTCAATGCCCTCATTCATGCTCACAGGTAAGGAAAAGTATCCATTCGTTCTTTCCTAAGTGTTCTGATATATTATTTCTGTGTAATTGAGAAAGGTACTGAAGGATAACAGAAAAAGATTTTCATCCGGAAGGAACATAATAAAACTTTAGCAAATTATGAATGGTAGGGTGAATGTGGAACTTTATTTTTGGTTGTCTCTATCTCTCTGGTATACTATTAGAATCCATTATTCTAATGAATTGTATTCCATTATATACTCTACCAGTGATGGCAAACCTTTTCGGCATCAAGTGCGCACTAGTCTGGGACATGACCTGGAAGAGGAGCTGCCCAATAGGCATGCACACACCAGAAAATGAAATTCTGGTTTCTGGCATGTGTATGCGCACCGGCCAGCTAATCTTCCAGTTAATTGTGTGCATAATGATCAGCTGGCTGGCACATATGCTCATGCCAGAAAACAGAATACCACTTCTTCCAGTTCCTGGCACTGCTGCATGCAAAAGCCCAGCTGATTGTCACATGCATATGCACACCAGTAATCTGGAAGACGAATGAGCAATGCTGCACCAGAAACCTGGAAGAGGAATGGGCAATGCTGCCTGTGCCAGGCGACATGTCTCCGTGTGCCACTTTGGGCACACATGCCATAGGTTTGCCATCACAGCACTATACTATATATATTCTGTAATATTAGAATCCATAATCACCCTACAAACATGAACAGCCCAAAGTTCAGGACAGATATAGAAAACATTTCTTATTTATTACTGAATTATGATACCTGTTAGAGCAAGTTATAACAAGATAAGAAATTGAATAATGTCACAAAGAATAAGTTATCAGTTGCTACCTTTAAGATCCAAGGAAGCATGCCTTTGAGATGAGTCATTGGAGAGCCGCAAGAGTAAGGGTCAAAGTCCTACTTATGGTTTTTGCAATTGCACCTGGCTGGCCGTTATGGGGAGAAAGAATCATGAATATATGCTGAATGTCCATTTTAAACACGAGATATGTTTCCTTACTATGCTCAGAAAAAAATACTAGAATGGAAATTTAAAAATGCTGCTTTAGAAGATACAAATCACAGCATTTCCATGTCTTCTAGAAGACAAGTTAAATCTTATTGTTCTATTGTTTGTTCACCCTTATGCTGAAACATATTTTACTCCTGCACATGTAGAGGCTTGCATAAATGTTGAACTATAATTTATTTAAAGATGAATACAAATATACAGTTTGTTCACATTATTTCAGATTCTTGCATCCTATCTCTTTAAAATCAGATGTAGAAAATAACATGCATTTCTGTGTTTTGTAAAGCATATATATACACTTCTGAGCAGAATTTAATAAGATTAACCTGGAGGGGATGGCACTCCAGTAAGGTCGGAAACTCTTTATCAGTTATTGTAAAAGTTATTTTAGGTCATAAATCTATTATAACATTTAATCGACAGGCCATCCCCAAATTCATATTCTTTTGATTCTATAAATTGTAATTGTATGCTGATGCTATGGATTCTTATTTTAAAGTACCTAGCCCAGTCAGAGAAGAAAGATACATTAAGCTTCTCCTCCATAAATATTGTATTACATTGCCTCTGACACTCCTATCAATAGCCTATTAAAACTCTAGCAAATTTCTAAAAATCCTAAGGGGAAAATGTCCACTATGTCCACTTCCTTGCATTTTCTAAACATAATCTCCTTCATTTACTTGTTTTTATTTTTCATCTTTTCAGGCCTGATCTGATACAATACAGCTCCCTGCGGCATGACCAGCCCATAATTAATCTAAATAATGCCTTCAATGTGGCGGAGAAGCACTTGGGGATCTTAAAGTTGTTGGATGCTGAAGATGTGGCAGTGCCATTTCCAGATGAGAGATCCATCATGACCTATGTGTCATTCTACTACCATTATTTTTCCAGGCAGAAGCAGGGTCAGACAGTCCAGAAAAGGCTTGCTAAAGTCAGTGTATTGCTCTTTTGGTAATTAGCATTCCTATTGCCTGGTATGTCTTAAGTAAATACTTTCTGCAACCCAAATAGAATGTAGACTCCATCTTTATCTATGGAACACATAGATTTCCATAGTCAAAAATGTCTAAGGAAGTACAGATGCTGTTAAGATGAAACTTAGCTGAACTCCTATAACATGGTAACATCTGCAACTTGGAACTGATAGATTATGGCTTCTCAGCACCTTGAGGATGGAACACATGTCCAATGCACTGGCCTAAAGTAGCCAGTTGCAGTCAAGCTTTTCATTCATCTAGAAGTGGTATAAACAGTTACTATTGCTATTGCTATTTGCATTTTCTTCTGGGTAACTCAGCAGCATTACAGCAATAATTTTGTCTGAACACAATCCATTTGTTTCTAGCACTGTGTGATTAAACTCCGCTTACAAATATATATAATCATGCATATTGCACTTTGGTGTTTTTTTTCCTTTATATACAAGAGAAATTTTGGAAGAAAATTTCGATCAGGAGTATGTTGAATGTATATTAATGTAGAGACAGTCCTGGTCCAATTAACAATTGCTGATTTTAGCGGAAGACTAAGACCCCATGATGAATTGCTCATGGAACATGTAACTTTCTTGAATGAAACTTATCTTTGCTGAAAATGAGAGTAGAATTCTACTGACTAAGATCAAGGGAGAAAAATACGTGTTATGTTTAATCTTTCTGCAGTTCGTGTTTTGCCTGAAGGAGACAGATGAATTGAAATTCCAGTATGAACACATGATCTTTGAACTCTTGAAATGGATAAAGCTCAAAGTGACAGAACTGGATGACCGTTCCTTCCCCAATTCTCTGGAGGAAATGCACTGCCTCATGAATAACTTAAAGGTCTTCCGCACTATGGAGAAACCACCCAAATACCGTGAGAAGGGAATAATTGAAGCCAATTTTTTCCACATAAGGACCAAACTGCAAGTCAACAATCAGCGCCCTTATCTGCCCCCTGAAGGAAAAACTTTAAGAGATCTGGAAAAAGAATGGATTGCTTTGGAGAAAGCAGAGGCCAGTCGAGGAAAAGCAATACTACAGGAGCTGTTAAGACTTGAGAAAGTTGAGCAACAGGTCCAGATGTTTCTGAAGAAAGCAGCCATTCGTGAGGCCTATTTGAGAAACATGAGAGAGATAATCAAAAAGCAGGATGATTGGCAACCTGACAGTGTAGAACAGCTTCAGGCAGGCACTAGGAAACTAGAGGTGATTGAAGCAGACATGCTTCCCCAAGACCAACGCTTCACAGCTTTGTCTACAATGGCTGCTGAAATCATGCGGGAGAATTATCAGGACAAGGCCTTGATTGCCAAAAAGTGAGTAGGATGCCTTCAGATTGGGGCAGTAGTCAGAGATGGTGTTGGAGAGAATGAAAAATGCATCACAGATGTTTGTTTAGCATGAATTAATGCAACCTCCATGTTTGGAAAGAGTAAATTCAACCGATTGTATTATATGTTGTATTCTTCCAATAGCAAAAATGTTAGGACAGATGATAAAGAAATAAAGGGCAATCACAATAGTAAAACATCTTAGTAAGTGAAATAAGAAAGAACAAAATATGCTAATATAATGCAAGCATTTACAATTTCAAAATTACACAATTAAAGTCTAATATGTCTACAAATGAATGAGGATATTTGAGTGTGTGTCTATTTACACAACTCTTTCTAATCTTATTTGCACATGCTGCATATCTTATTCGATGGGTTTTGAATTATGTAGATTTCTTTCTCTTGCCTTAATGTAGCCTATGCTTTGTTGTGGATTTCCCTGTTTCTACGCTATATGTATTTGTGTACATTTTTGTACATTTCTTTTGCTCCCCCTGCCCTTTCTTTTTTTCCCTTTCTTTTGTTGCACACATTTCTTCTCCTTGTTTTCTTTTCTTCTCCGCCTGAATCCTAAAAACCCTTTAGTCAAACTAGGTTTGGATGCTTTGATTGCTGGCTCTTTTCTATACTCTTAGCTTTGATTGCTTCTCACCTGAGCTGCTGCCAATTTAAAATTCCTATGCACTCCCTAAGCCAATTTTGTCCTGGGCATCTTTTGTTTGCTTGGCCAGTTCTGCAGCTCTCGCCTGCAAAAACCTTGGATTTTCCACTCCACTCCAGCACATAACATTTCCTCCTGATACACTGATGCCACCTGCCCGGAAATCATGACTTTTTTGAGCTGGGCCTTGGGCACAGCCCAACTAATTCAGCTGCACTAAGTCCCGGAGGGCATGAAGAAAAGGAAAATGAAATTCCACACGGACTGTTATGAGGCTCTCCTTCCACATTGTTCTACAATTCACTTTTTTCATATATCATCGGATGATCAAGCTAGAAGTTGAAAAATATTCAGAATTGCTAATGAATATTACACTTTGAAGTTGCATTTCCCCATTGGATTAAACCTCGTGTTTCTCCACAGCAGCTAGTGTTATAAATAAGATATATAGAAATATATCACGTAATGACATCCAAATATGGGGTAATTTGAATTGACCATTAGTGAAGTCTTGTGATATCACATTTCTTCTTCTTTTTTTCTCTCTTTACAGGCAAATGGACATCATTCATCAATGGCAAGATCTCTGGGACCATCTCAAAAGACAAAAACATGCTATGGAAAAGATGCGGGAACTCCTAGTCCTTTTGAGGGACATTGACACCATTATGGAAGAACTTAAAGGCATGCAGGTATATTGAGTTATTCATTCTAAAGACAGAAATTGGTGGCTATGGTCTTTAATGAATGCTTCCAATTCATAGCCTATGGAAAAAGAGCAAGAAGGATGTGTTATGCAGAGGGGGTATCTGGAATGAGAATTTGAACTTAAACCATAGATCGTAACTACTCTTAAAAATCTATTCATGTGTCTTTGGAGGGATTGTCTCCATTACATTAGATTATATGTTGAAAACCAATGATATGTAGGAAGGAAGATTGTGCAAGTCCAGAAAGCATTATTAAGTAGTTTGCTTTTTTCTATTACAAAGCCTGGTATATATAAAGCCTTTTGAGGCAGGCAAACAAATAGGAACCATTTGGATTTATGAAAAGATCTATATTGATAACAAAAACTTGAAAGCCTGTTAAAAGACGTCTCCAGCTTAGCATTTATACCTAGCAAAATCAAGACAGTTACTCCAAGTCACTTTCACATACAGTGGTACCTCAGTATTCATCTAGAACCAACACTAATTGGTTGTGGGAGATGCAATGAGTACCCAAAACAATGAGTACAAAACATTTTTTCCCATAAGGAATAACAGAGTTAATCACAAGGTAATGCTGACATAGGGAAATTCTAGCGTGTGCATTGGGTACCAAACAAATGATGAGTACCAGAGCAAAATGTTCACATCAAAATGTGTTGAGTACCTAATTTGAGTTTCAAAGCAGCTGAGTACCACCTTGTTAGCTTCAGGAAATTGTTTTGCAACAATCTTGTTTCTTCCTCCACTTTCCCTGTTCCATCACAACACAAGATCTTATACAACCATTTATTAGAACATTTCTCTCTATCTCAGCAGATGGCAACATATTATCTATTATTATTATGGTCAGCCAGATGTTTAAATTGGATTTGGCATTTTTGTTCATTTATTTAGTCCTTCCCAAACCTTGTTTAATATTATTAAAGAAATCATCACAAAATATATGTCAAGCACTGTTCCCTCTAAGGTGCACGGCTGCGCGGCCGCGCACCTTGCAAGAAAGCCCCGCGCAG